AGACAGATGGACGGAATATAATTGAGCTCAGCTGCTTGCAGAAAAAAAGATATATAAAATACATTTTCCAAACATATTTAATGATTTAAAATTCATTTTGTGACAAATATCTTAGAGACTTATTGTATTTGACTTTATGTTTATTTTAATTAACTGTAAATCTATCAATGATTAAAAAACAAATAATAATAATGAAAAATGCAACATTCTAACTGTTGCTGGGAAAACTACTTTTTTTAAAGCCATTTAAATGCATTCCTACAACACCAAAATAAAGCAGTTTTCATAGCAAAAAGAAAGCAATGGTGAATGAACAGCAGGTGGAGTCAAAGACTAAACAATAATCAGGTCTGAAAGTGGGACCATATCAAATTCATCCCCTGTGTGGCCTCATGGTTTAAAATTAGAACACAAATTTTACTCTGCATGCAGAACATCACATGTTCTACAAGGTCAGTCTATTGCTTTCTGAACACATAAAGAATAGATCATCTTTCAAAAAGATTTTTAAGTAATGGTGTAATTTTTAGTTGTAAATTAATAAAATAATTGAAGTGAGCAGAGGAAAGCAAATCTTTGAAACTCATTGTTGCCTATTTTCTCCTATTAGTAAATATAACCTCTGGTTTTTCCAGACTGACTGTAAAAATACTGATGTTGCTTTGGAGATATTTTCAGCTTTCACGCCTTTAGTGTTAGATGGTGCTAAAAAAGATGTAGGTGATTTCACAGGCAGCATAAAAACAAGAAGTCATTCTACTTCTACTTCGTGTGAAGTATCTCCACTCTGGCAACAGTACTAAAAGCTCAAGGGGCTTTCCGCTATAACATTTAACTGTCATGACTGTAAAAAGATAATTAAAGCACAATACCTAAAACTAAGGAATTAAATTTTGGGGTATTTTTTAACCTACTGTGTGACATAGTTGCACAGGAAGCTAAGGAAATCTACATGTCTCAGTTTTTGTATGACATTGAAAACAGTATATAAAAGTGTCAACTTCACACTTTTTCGTTGTTTTTTTTTTTTTGCTCGGACTTGCTCCGTGGTGAAGTTGTAACGAACATTTGAAGACTGGTATACACTTTAGATAATTGGAAACAGATACAAAAAATTGTCGTCAGTACTCTAAATGTATCAAAGCTCTTTTGTAGCAAAATAAGTTGGGACCCCTTTAGGATAACTAGCCTTACCATATTTAGCTGAAGTAAATTTGCTTCTTGTTGACATTGAAACTGGTCTAAAGAAAGCTGAACCCACAGCTTACTTCCGCTGTCTAGTGTCTGAGGCATTTCTTACATTTAAAAGTAGTTCTCAAGGGTATAGTGGAGGATTTTCGCAATTTTTGCAAAGAGACACACTCTCTACTTTAAAAACAAAATACACATGCACAACCCTGTACCCTCCGCCCAAAAGGGAACGAGTATTAAGTGCGTGCGAGAGCGTGCACAATGATAA